CTCCCCCCTCCGCCCCCTCCTCTCCTCACCACCACCATCACCCCCTTCAACAGGGACCATGCGAAGCCTCGGGGACGCATCAGCTCAAGGCTAGCTCTGCCCTGTCCTCTTCCACCGAGACGGGTCCAGAGGTCTTGCAGAAGCCACCAGAGCTTCGCCTTTCACCACCTCCTCCACCCCGCTAGGCGGTTTCCAGCCCAGCGAGACGGAGCCAGGCGCAGGTTTGCACCTGACCCGTCCCGACCCTGCAACGCTCCAAGCTGCCGCAGCGCCCAGCCTCTCAACCGCCGGCACGCGGTGGGGGCCTCCCATCGCTGTGCACCTGCGTCTCAGCCTCAAGCAGTAACGCTGGGCCTTATCGCCCTTTCCTCATGCTAAACGAGGTGAATTTCCTGCAAAAGCTGCAGCCTTACCGGCCCCCTGGTGAACGCTGGCCGCGTGCCCGTGGTGTCCTTCATCTCTGCTCTTTCCAGCTCCTCCGCCTTTTCCTCTAATCTCCGCAGGTTGGTACCCACCCAGCAATAAAACCTACCCGGCTGCACAAGGAAGGCTCAAGTCAGCAGCCACGAGCAGCTTCGGGGCAAGCTAGGAAACGCTCCGGCGTCATTTTGTGACTTATTTTTACCGCCATCAGCCATCTGAGGCGGGAGCGGGCAGCGCTCCTGGGGGGACAGCCCCGCGCTGCAGGGCCCTGAGCGGCCGGGTCTGCTCCTCCTGGGGCATTTGGGGTCTCTCCTGCTCCCGCTTAGAAGAGGACGCAGGAGGATCACGGCTGGGAAGAACAAAAATAACATAAAATCACAACCTCGGGGAAGATGGAAGCGGGGAGGGACCCCGGCAGCCCCAGCCGCTCCTGTCGAGGGCACGGCCAGCCCCAAGGCCAGGGCCAATGCTCGGCCACGTGTTATTCCCCTCTCCCAGGAGGGAAATTCCCTTTCCTGGCTTGGCCCCACAAAGGTTTTCTTCCCCCCGCCCCGCTACACTTTGCTGCTCCCCAGCCCAGCCCAGGGCTTGGTGTTTGGCTTCGGTTGTTGCTTCTGCCCCTTGAGGTCCCTCTCCACCCAGGCCTGCCCTCCAGCGTACCAGCTGCTTCCCCCAGCCCGTTTTTTGGTCACTTCCCCCCCCGCCAAGCCCGCTTCTCCATCCCATCGTCCAAATCATTATTGAGGATGTCGTCCCAGGCCTGATGGCGGCGACGGCCCTAGTAACCGGCCGCCAGCTGAACTTCCCCAGCTCTTTGAGCCCAGGTGCCCGGCCCGTTTTCTGTCCACCTTGTCACCCGCCCAGCTCTCCTCTGTACAAGAACGCTAGAGGAGCCCACGTTACTCCGGAAGCCTCAGGGTGCAGGGGGGAGAGGCACGATTCACCGTGCAGCCACGGTCTTGCGTTGCCTCGCCAAATGAAGCGAGCACAGGGCAAAGGCAGTCACCCAAGCGTTCCACGTCAGGCTGTAGGTGCCTCCCCCTGCAAAGTCCAACACAGGGAGGCCTGTCGCGGCTGCGGCATGGACATTGCTCCCGCTGTTGGATCTCGGCCCGGAGTAGGAGGGAACCCAGGAGATCGGCCACAGCACGAGAAGGGGGACAGCGTGTCCCCCTCTGTGAGGGGGCACAGGGCTGCACGACCGTCCTGAAGTCGCTGAAGTCTTTGACTCCTGACTGCAGGGATAATCTCGTTTTCCCGTGCGCAGGAGCCACGGGACTGTCGATATAGGATTACACTTAACAAGCTAATCCCATGGCCCCAGGGCTCTGCTGGGGCATGCCTGACGGGATTTTCTCCTCTGATACAGTAACCTTGGTGTGGTGTTCCAGACCCTGCACCCAGAAGGCACGTGTCAGGAGAGTGGCAGGGCCCCAGTCTGCTCTGCTTGTCCTGCTCTCGCCACGGTGGACACCTTGGCTCAGATGCAGAGATAAGGAGCTTTCAAGGCCATAGCGACATGTGCTTTGCTACGCTCAGAGCTGAGGGGTGACATCTCCACCCAGGACAGGTTCCCCCCTAGGAAGCCCACAGCCCCATGACAGATACTCTCACAGCCACCTTTGTCTCTCAGGATTAAATGATTAAAAAAAAAAAAATCTGTATAGAAATCACCACTCTCTCATGATTCTGCGTGTCTGGAGCCCAGCATCAGCTCTGGGACTCCACTCTCAGCTCCAGCTTCAGCGAAATCTCCTCTCCTCCCACACATATCGCTTCCCTGTGGGCACCTTGCGGAAAAACAGGCTGTTCCCTCGGCTCATGTTGCCCTAGAAGCAGAGAGAATTACCACCAGGTGAGCCAGGTCCACAGCAGGGCCCCAACGCCCCATCATGGCTCCCTAGCAAGGGACAACCCACCACCTCCAGGCCGACCGCTCCATCCTCCGAGTGCCCTGAACAGAGCAGGGGCTCAGCACCGACCATGGGCTGCGCTGCTGGTCCCCTCGCGCTGCAGGGGCTTGTGGCGGGCAGGACACAGGCCCCAGAGCACCGCAGGACTCCAACCTACCCCTTCCTAGTAGCCAGGCGGTGCGCCGGCACTGCCCACCTCTGGCTGCTTACCTCCTTGCGCAGCTGGCTCCAGCAGTCCAGCCAAGACGAGTAGGTGGGTGCGTAGGGGAGGAGGCCCCCAGCTAGCCTGGGGAGGAGAAGAGAGAGCCGCAGGGAATTAACTTCTGCCCAGGGCCAAGCCAGCTGGTGGGACAGGACGCAGCCCTCTGCCACCCCCAGCTCCCCACCAGCAGCTCCAGCTAATCCCAGCCCAGCTGCACAGACCCCGCGCTCCCCAGCTCGCACCGGTGAGCGGCCACGCTCCCGGGTGCGGCAGATCTTACGCTGTGCGCTAGGTTCAACCCTGCGACGGCCCTTTCCAAACCCCTCCCTGGGGCTGCGCTCAGGCTGAGGGCCCTACCCAGCTCCACCTCAGCGCCTTCCCCCCGGCAGCATCATGAAACAAGGGATCGGGCCCACGGCCGGCAGGGCTGTGAGTTTGAAGCTCTTCTGTGCCACCACAAGGCTGGGAGTGTCGGGATGGCGATTTCGGGAACTGATCCTGCAGGGTGGGACAGGGCTGTCACCCACACCGGTGTCTCCAGACCCCTCAGGGATGCAGAGAGACGAGGGCTGTGCAGCAAGGCCAGGCCCGGCTGCGACAACAGGAAGGTCCCGGGGTCCGCACGCTGGCGAGGGAGGTGGTGGCAGCACACTCACCCACAATTATTAATGGCCATCAGGTTGGAGACCAGCACGAAGGGGTACGTCAGCATGCTAGCAAAGAACTGCAACGGAGAGCAGGGCTGGTTAGCAGCGCCAGGCATCCCCACCCCGGCTGCGATCTGCTCGCATCCCTGGCACAGAGCAGGGATCCCTCCCGCAGCACGCAGCCCTGCTGGGCAAAACAACTCGCTGGCACCCGCTTTCCTCCAGGTGGGGAAAAACAAGCCCCAGAGGGTCCCCAGTGATCCCCCCCACACCCCCAGCAGGGAACCCTCTCCCGCAGACAGTCTGCTCTGACGCGTTGGTTAAGCTCCACGGGACAGCAAACAGCGACGGACTGCGCAGAGGTGAGGTGAGGCCACGGCACATGCCCTAAGCAGGCAGCCTGCTGCGCGTAGGGCCAGCTCACGCTCCTCCACGAGCATTAATTCCTCCGCAGGCTGGTCCCTCCACAGCCTGGGGCAGCACCCAGCTCCACTCCCCACTCCCAGCAGCAGCAAGACGGGCAGGCTTACACATATCACCCTCTCCTCTCCAGGGATACGCTGTTTCCCCAGTGCCAAGGAAAGGATTCGGCTCACTCCACCCACCCCTAGAGAGACAGCATCACACACACACACACACACACACACGCGCGCGCGCGCGCAGAGGGGCTGTACTCACTCCAGTCACGGCCTGTGAGTAGCTCTTCATCTCAGTCATGGTTGAGACCTGTGAGTAGAGAAAGGTGCCTTCAAACCCCGCAGAGCCACACTGCCACCCCAAAGCGGGGACCCGGGCTGCCCCTAGGCCAGACCCACCCCCGGGCTGTGCTCTGAGCCCTCTCCTGCTCAGCGCCGCAGCCCTCACTGATCGCAGCCCCTGGGCCTGCATCCTCGGGCCTGCCGTCAGCTAAACACCAGCGACGCAGGCAGAGCTCCCCCAGCCCAGTCAGGCAGGTCACTGCCTCCCCCAGCCCACCCCAGGGCCCACGCTCCGGAGCGACGTCCGAGCGAGAGCGCAGAGCCCGTACCCCGTTCTCCAGGGCGTATGTGTTGATGAGGTAGGCCAGCATGTTGCAGAGCCACAGCGAAAGGATGTCTCCAAGAAGCCGGGGGATGAGGCCCCTGAAAGAGAACAGGCAGCAGGAACGTGAGCAGTTCCCTTCCTAGTGCCGAACCCCTGCCTGGATCCAGCCGCACGGAGGGTTCAGAAAGAGCCGGCTCGTGCAGGTGTCCTCCCCAGATCGAGATGCGGGCCAGCAGACAAGAACTCAAGCCATCGCCTGATGGCGGCAGGAGGCAGGTTTAGAAACAGGAGGCAGCAGCTATTCACCCAACGCTCAGGTAACAGGGGGAACTCCTTGTGACAGGAATGCACAGAAGACAAAGGCCTACAGCGGTTCGAAAAGTAACCGAGCGCAGAGGAAAACTTCTTGAGGGGAATTACGCAGTTCTGACTCAAGACACCTCTGAGCTACCAACGGCGAGAGGCAGATTTTCCTGGGCAATGATTGCTAGGCGCTTGCTCTCTTTTAACGTCCTCACGTATCAGATATTGGTCACTGCCAGTCACAACCCAGGGCTGACGGATCTGCGGTCTCAACTGCCGGTTGCACTCAGGACCCAGGTCCTCTGTGGGAAGGCAGAGTGGGGACCGCTTGCTCCAACAGTGGCCGAGGCTGCAATCAGGGCAGAGGTCTATCAAGCCCAGCAAGACGACAGACGTGCAGCACCAGGCACCGCTGCCGAAGCGAGAAGCAACATCTGAGCAACGAGCAAGGCCCAGGGATCTTTTGCAAGCGACCGCGCTGCCCCATACAAGGCCCCAACAAGAGCCAGCCCCGCCGTCGATGGCACTCACGCGAAGAATCCCAGGATGCCCTCTTCTCGGTAAATCGTGGCGAAGGCGCTTAGTGTCCCACTGGGCCAGAGGAGAAAGAGAAGAGAGCCCCAGTCACACAGTGCTCTGCACTAGAAGCGAGTTGCCCGGGCAAACTGCCTCAGTCCCACCGTTTGGGCGAACGAGCACAGCTCCCTCCCCAGGACCACAGGGCTGGGCAGCATCCTTCCCTCCCCAGCCCCCCAGGAAAGCAAAGCCCCCAAGCCCCAGCCCCACTGCCCCCGTACCTGTACTTGGTCTCCCTGCCGATGAACTGCACCATACATCTCAGGGTGATCACTGCGGGGCAGAGCCAAACAGCGTGGGGTCAGCGGGGAGCAAAGGCACTCCCGGGACCCTCCAGGGCAATACAACAGCAATACAGCTACACCACCCATCGGCCAGGCCACCAAGGCGGACAAGGATGCGCGGAGGAGCGGTGGCCTCAAGCTCTGCATCAGTTGCGCGGGGTTTACCTACCATGAAATGGGTGGGTGATGAGCGTTGCGGCGGAGCGAGCAACCATCTCTCGGGAGGTCTGGAGGAGAAAAAGGCTGTCAAACGGAGAGAGCAAGGGCGGGCGAGGGCAGGCGGCAGGGCTGCGCTGGCGTGGCAGGAAGCAGGAGAGAGCCCAGAGGCGTTCCCAAGCAGCACCAGCGTCGCACCGTGCACCACGGGCGTTGCTGATTCGCGTGCTCCCAGCCCCGCTCTCACCAGGGTGAACCCAGCACGCTCACCCCAACACCCTTCTCCCGCCGGCTGCAAGGAACGAGGGTAATCCTGGGTGCACGCCGGGCATCGGCTCTGCACAGCCCCGCTGTCACGCGGCGGCACGCCACGGGAAGGGCACACCAGTAGGCGGAGGG